TTTCAGTAGTACCAGAAAATAACTTCCATGAATAAATTTTTTTTACATTCTACACTAAGCAAAACATATGCCAAACAGGCTACAATTACTAGGCTAGACATGTCAGTAAATGTTGATGTTATCAAGCAAGCCTGAATTTAAACTACCGTATTTATCGGCATATAACACGAGTTTTTAAACCTAAATTTGCAAGCTTAACCCTTGCCGGGGTGTTATCCGCCGATACTGCGTGTTATACGCCGATAAATACGGTAGTTTAAATTCAGGCTTGCTTGATAACATCAACATTTACTGACATGTCTAGCCTAGTAATTGTAGCCTGTTTGGCATATGTTTTGCTTAGTGTAGAATGTAAAAAAAATTTATTCATGGAAGTTATTTTCTGGTACTACTGAAATTAATGTCAGCTCTGAACCATTACATAGCCTTATGTGACCTGGTAATCTCAAGTCAGCCTTTAGGATTTTTAAGTACAGTGCACAATATTGAAAATAAATAAGAGTAACCTTCTCCCAAGTCTTGCAGAATTGACTGCAAGAGAAGGACTCTACCTCACAAAGGAGACAATAAAAAAATAAATAGAATAAATATACCATTGTAATGGCTTTTCATTGTCTTTCATGGAATATCCATAAATATTCCTCTTACCCTTTCACTTTCAAGTGAGTAGTCAAATTATTTTGGCATCTGAAGTAAAAAGCCCCCCTAGTTACTCTTCCCAGTTCTAGCAGTAAAAACAGAATAATTACATTTAAAAACTAGCTGACAAAAAAGAAAATGTACCTGACATGAGGAAAAGAAGACCAGCAACATGCTGTGTGAGGCTTTTCTCCCAAAAGAAACCAACTGCAATTACAATGCACCCACAGAGAAGAACAGCTGCTGCCATGCCAAGAAAACCTGCTGTAATTCTTCTTAGATCTATTCTCATAAGGAAGGGATAAATTATCAGCACACATTAAAATCACATTAAACTCATTCTTATGCATGCACATTCCTAGAAATAAATTACAGGTATGACAATAGGGAACAGAACATCCATTGCTATGTGATATGGTAATTTAAGTGAGCTGGGCCCAACAGCAACCTTTTTTTGCAATGGTCATTAAGCAAATTATAGTCATTAAGCAAATAATGTTGTTTCCCCCCATTGACTTCGCTTGCTGGAAGATCCCTGGGTCAGAAATGGTGATCATAAGACCTCAGGATGCTGCAAGTCACAAATACAGTATGAGGACTAGTCACAAGTCACTTCCTTCAGCACCATCATAAATTCGAACAGTTGTTAAATAAATAGTAAAGTTGAGGAATACATGCATGTTAAATGTAATATGACACTTTAATGATAAATAATTACCAGGTCATGGGGCTGTTATTTCTTGTCAATTTTAATAAAAGAAAAGTGATGGACACATCTTCTGATTTGTTTTTCTTCACCTCATGAGGTTTTTTTTACAAGGTGCTTTCTTGGACAAAATGGCGAGGAACGTGACAGCTGCAAGTAGGACACACGTCTTGCGGTCCAACACCTCCCAACCCATCCCAATGGCAACAGAATCCTGGCTGCTTCCTTTCCCTGCTATCTCTTTAGCAAGAGGGGTGGCAGGTGGTGTGGGGGAGAAGTGAGAGGTGTGGAGCGAGACATGGCTTTTGGCATCTCTTCTCCCCCCTCCCCTTGCCGGGCATAGCAGGCTTCCTTTGCAGCTTCCAAACTGGGGCAGAGAGGCGGTGAAGAGTGAAATGCTCACCTCTGGGGATAAATCAGGTGCTTCACTGGAGAAACTACCCCATGTCACCCCAGGCTTCCTAAATCTCTCGCTCCCCAGATCATCCCGCTGATGAAGAAAACCCAACGCAGGGCAGTGGCGGGACACGTCAGGGCGGGCATCCATTGAAAGACATGAAGAATAGGAACAGGAGGCGTCAGGGGCAACGGGACATGCAGTCCCACACTCACCATCTGCACTTCCAAAATAATAAGACACACAGCAATAAAACAAAGGCCATATTTCGGGTGGGTCATAAGAAAATAAGACCCTTATTTTCTTTTGACCCAAAAGAAACACAGTAGCCTTTTGCTATCAAAAAGTTATTCCACCCTACTCTAAAAGGAAATTTTGCTACATCTATATTTGTTAAACTTTATTTAATAAACTGACAGGATGGCGCTTTGTTTATAAAATATGACATTTCCAAAACTGGTGTGCAATACTTTTTGTTTGAATGCTATTAACCTTAGAATAGGTAACATTGTGTACTGATATTTATTTTCACATTTGTAACCCGTCCTATATCAATGGAGTACATCATATTAAAAAGACCACACAAGTTCAACCCCTAAATGCATAAGTACTTACGTAACAAGTGCCATTCATCCTGCTGGATAATCTTTGTTAAATTGATAGGGATGTTCCATAAGCGTCTTATTGGTGTGGCAAAGTGATACTTGATTGATGTACATCTTTGAGCAATACCTTTAGAAAACAAAGAAATATTTAATAAATAATTCTGAACTGTTATCTGGATGATCACTTTTTAATATAGAGAAATCCAGTAAATGGGATGCTTCCAAATGAGACTTTTAATTGTGAAATTGAAATGTTTACAAAGTAATAGCCTTCTTCAAAGAATTTATATGAAGGGGTAGGGACTACCATCATCTTTTTAATTATAGTCCTTATGCATTTTCCCACCAATGACTGTGATGCCTATCTTGAATTTTATCTTTGCTTTTTTTGTTATTAATTTTTGATTTTGCTATTGTTTGGCATTTGGGTATTTATTATTATATTTTTCATATTAGAACTTGTACACTGCCCAAATTTTACTGGGGCAAGTTATAAATTCTGTACGTAAGCAAATAAAATCAATAAGCCGGTATTGAGTCCCAAAAGAAAAATCATAATTTATTATTGTATTCATAAAACTTATGCAATTGTTTAATGGGACATATTATACAGTAGTAAGCCAGCATTGGGTTCGGAAACTGCTAAATACTAGTCTGTAATTTCCAGGCTAAACTAGATTGTCCAGTCATAAACCGGCCTATTCTAGGAATTCCATCTTATTTTATTTACTTTTTAACTTTTCCCCCAACCCACTATAGAGGGGGAGATGTAAAAAAAGACAGAAATGACTGGCCTGGACCTCACAGAATTGGTATTTACTTTTTCCTCAAATAGATTAAAAAATAGTAGTTGAGAAGCAAAGATGGCCACTTGACTGGGATCATCACTAACTCCTAGTGCATAGGGATGTATCCCCTGGGATAGCAGCGGGGAGGCAACGTATTGTCCACACATAGGCTACAAGTACTTTGAAGCAAAATCCCTACTGGCAAGGAGGTGATAAACCCGGGATGGTGAACTTATGGCACGCATGCCACAGGTGGCACGCGGAACCATTTGTCAGGGCACACGAGGCGTTGCCCTGTCAGCTGGCCAGTGTGCAGCACACGCTGGCCAGCTGAGTTCAGCCTTTTCTAAAGTCATTTTTCACCCTCCCCAGGCTCCAGAGGCTTTATAAGAGCCTTGGGGGGGGCAAAAAGAGCCCCCCCCCAAGGCCCTCTGGAGGCTTCAGGGAAGCTCCCTCCGGTGTGCAAAAAAACAGCCCTGAACTTCTCCTGAAGGTCCCTGAAGCCTCTGGAGGGCCCCCGGGAGGTTGGGGAGGCTGTTTTCGCCCTACCCAGGCTCCTATAAAGCCTCTGGAGCCTGGAGAGGGCAAAAAAAGCATGCAAAAAATGGGGAAAGCGCCTCTCATGCACGCATGCACACTGGGGGGTCGTGCATTGCATTATGGGTGTGGCACACCCATGCACGATCCTCCTGTGCTCTCCCCCTTATGGCACGCAAGCCAAAAAAGGTTCGCCATCGCTGTGATAGAGTATCAAGCAGTCAATTGAATGTTTCAATATAGATAGCAATAGCGATAGCACTTAGACTTATATACTGCTTCACAGTGCTTCACAGCCCTCTCTGAGTGGTTTACAGAGTCAGCATATTGCCTCCAACAATCTAGGTCCCTATTTTACTGATCTCGGAAGAATGGAAGGCTGAATCAACCTTGAGATTCGAACTGCCAAATTGCAGTCAGCCGACACTCAGCAGAAGTAGCCTGCAGTACTGCATTCTAACCACTGCACCACCACGTCTCTTGGCAGCTTAAATCTCCACTTTGTAGCATCACTGTTATAACTCCTATACATTTTTTTCCCCTTATTTGCTTGTGGCCTATTTTCAAAGGATCATCGCAATTTTAGTTGAATATTTAATGGATAATGACTGAAGAGGAATTTCATACATAGATTGGTGTGCTGATTTCCCGATCTTTTTTTTTATGCTGCTATCCTCAAATATCACATTGGAAATGTGATATTTGCATATTATATTTGACTCTCAAATTAATTTACAATCCAGAACATGTAAAACCTGAGAGTACAGAAAGTAAAGGATAAAAGATAAAGACAAAACCCAATTTAAAGAGTACTAAAAGGCTTGCTACAATAAAAATATCTTAGCTACTTATCTAAAACCAACTGTTTAAAAAGAAGGTCCACATAAAAAGGTAAAGGTTTCCCTGTCAGTTATGTCTGTAGGGCACAGTGCTCATCTCTGTTTCTTAGCGGAGGGAACCAGCGTTGTCTGAAGATAATTTCTGTGTTGCCAGCATGGCCATATCCCTCCAAAGTGGTATCTACTTATCTACTTGCATTTGCATACCTTTGAACTGTTAAGTGGGCACCCCATTGCATGGAGCTGTGATCTTGAATCTGGACTGCCAGCTCTTCAGATGACATGCTCAGTGTCTTTAACCACAGAGCCATCCCACCCCTCACATAAGAAGTACTGTCATTTTTTTAAAAAAAAAACTTTTGTTTCATAGTTTCATGTTTCCTTTCTGGCAAAAATAAAAAAAAGGACTGCTGAAGGTGATTATAGCTGATAGGTAGATTTCTGTGAAAAGGAGATAATCATTTAAATATCCTGATGTAATAAAAATAATATTTGTTTTAAAACAATAATTTAATAGACATGCTGAATTAAGATCTCTAGTTGCCAAATATAGTAGCAAACATTAGTCAATAGTGCCTCAAATGCAAATCCTGTTTATCAAATAGAAGAGCTTACTCTGGAAATAATCTGATTTATGCAATATGTTGGTAGTTACCATTTTCTGTCAAGACACGTTAATACAGCATGGAAAATTATCTGAAATTTTATAAAAGATGCATAAAATAATCACAAGTAGAATGGATTTGAGAAGTCCCAGCTTCTGTGGCAGTAGGGTGGAGTATTTCCTTTTGTTCTTTGGTTTGGCTGACTATAAATATTAAAAGATCTCCCTAGAGAAACAAGTAGTGAAATGTTATAGAATGATTCTGCCAATTATGAGCATGAAAGCACTTACTCATTCTTACAGTTTTGCTGCTAACAAGAGAGCATGTCTCCAACTGAGTGACAAACTTCACAGTTTCTGATTATGCAGTACAATTAAAACAATTTATAGCCCAATTTTCAAGATAACCTAGAGCAAATATATGCAATTAAAATTAGTCCTGACATACTAGCTGCGTCTGAAATTTCTAAACTAATTAGAAACCATTAGAAAATGGTTTTGAAATTCTTCTTTTTGTAAGAAACATATAAGTTTTGTCGTTTTTGTCTTTACAATTTAAGAACCATGTTGCGATGGAAATGTTCTTTTCTAACAAAACAAAACAATAGGTTACAGTCTTAAATAATGTTATATTAATATTGCATATTTTTAAAATGAGACTAAATTGACCAAAGATTATTTTTCAAATAAACTGGATGCTTCAGAGGACATTTAGCAAGGAGTGGGCTGTATCTTCTTTATGCTAGAAGTCCAATGTGAAAGAAGGGACTTTTATTTGTATGTTCTGGAAACTGCACATTGACACTAGTTTAGTCTAATATTCATCAGTTTGTAAATAGTAAACAAATTTCATTGTTCAAAGATATGAATGTGATACTGAATTAAATTCTGAAATTTTGGGATTTATCAAGCTATAAATAACTTTGATTACTTATGAAGGGTAAGAACTAAATAAATTATTTTACTTCAGTGGAAAAACTGTATAATGTATATTGCTTTGAATGTACATGTATACAATTTACAATTGAATAAATTCTTCCAACACTGAAAAATCTGATCACATAAAATTCTTTGTGATCATATTGTTTAAGGTTTGAATATTGTTATATTAATATTTAATGTGATTTTTAAAAACTTTTTTTTTGTTCTTTGGAGAAATTTCCTATATTTTATGGGCTACTTTTATTAGATGTGAATGCTAAAATTCTAACTATGCTTGTGATACAAAAAGTTGTGCTGTATATTAATGCATCTGAAAATGGTAATGCCTATTTAAAAGGGGAGATAGCACAAATGATTTTCGGTAAAACAATATTCATTCTCCAAAGGCCACAGAGGGTCATAACAGTTATGTGGCAACACTGTTTAGTTTTTAAAAAGTTGTTCAGTAGTTATGACACTATCCTATAAAAAGAAGACTATTCAAAAGGAAAATCAATTAGGAAGACACTATGGCATGATGAACCCACGTGGCTGTCTGGTCAGGTATTCAGCCCAGGTGAATGACAGAACCACCCAACTTGAATATAATAATGTGGAGAAACACCAAAATTCCATTGCTTACAAGGAAGAGCATGTGGGCAGTAAACATTTACATCTGACAGTACCAGAACATGTCTGGGTACTTTAATAGGAATGATAAATATCAGTTTAGTAAGGTATGTTTCAGAGTAGCTAATTACTGGAAACAACATCCATTATTACAGTAATGAGCCTGCAACCTGTTATCCTGTTGCTTTTAATCCTGCCTGCATTTGTTCTTTTGTCTTTACCTTCTAAAATCTCAATTATGTCTTCACCTGGTTTGGTTTCTGACTTCTTAACCAACTTACACTGGCCATAAATGACTCTTTTTTAAAAACTGGAAATATAACAATGCGTTTTTCCCATTTCAGTTTTGACTTTAGATATGAAATTTACTTGAAGCTTAATTTTCTTAGTTTGTTATTCCAATTTAAAAGCCCCCATGTAAGATTTTTTTTTACCCATTTATTTCTACCTGTCTTTTGGGATAAGCCTTGATAAGACAGTTTTCATTAGTTTTCATTTAAAACATTAAAAGAAAAACACTTTATGTTTTTTGCTTTTAATGTTTATGAATTTATGAATAATTTTCTACTTCACAATATTCCTACACAATTGGTCAACTAGAATGACAACAGAGATGCTCCAGTGCCTTCTTAATTTTTTTCAGATATACAATATCTTCTTGAAATTAATTGTCAGAATCATGGACACTTTTTCAAGAGTTTTGAATAAACAAGTTTTCTTTATTTGATTCCTTCCCAATAATCCATTCAGGATTGTGGATTATTGGGAATATGCATTTTAGTTCAACAAGAGTTGCATTCTGAGTGAACACTTTAACTGAGCTATCTGTTATAAAATAAACATCCTTTCCATATTAAGTGACTGAAAGTTTAGAGTGTAAAATAATGTAAATAGCTTTTGCTATTTTGAAAGTCCATTTACTCTGTCTGGGGACATTGGTACGGAGCTAGTATGACAACTTGGGAGGATGCCTCATGTAAAATGTTTATATATAAAATATAGAGGACATGAGAGTTTTCCTCCTGGAAATATAAACAGAAAAGCAAAAAGTCAAAATGCTAGTTTCTGGGGTGAAGAAGATATGTGTTCTATTATTTTAGAAACATGATTAGTAGTCTCTATCAGCTGAAGGAAAAACGTCATCTATGCAAGACAGACCATTATGTATCAAAAAGAGAAGGTCATCTTGCCTTTGTTTTATTAGGTGTAATGGATCCACAGCATTTCCAGAATGAAGGGATACTCTTGAAGCACAGCCTAAAAGATGTGCAATGAAATAAAAGAAATGGTAACCAGTGGATGGTCCTTGCATATTGAAGAGAAAATATTCACTGTTATAACAGATGTCTTATGTATTACTCTGTTTTGGGAGTTTTGAAACAGATTGGTAGCTACCCAAACTAGATGCTGTGGCATGCTGAATAATTGCTTAGTGAATTTAAGGTTACTACTACATACTATACAGATTATGAAGAGACATAATGCATGGGAAAGAAAGAGGTATAGAATGAAGCAAGCTAATTCATGGGGTTTAGTCACTGAGACGTTGATGAAGACTATGGATTCATTGTGTACTTTGTGTGATTATTACAAATTAACAGATGAACATAATAATGCTTAGGAAATTAGTATGCATTCTCCTGCTTCTTGGTCACTAATAAAATGCACTCTATTGGTGATATGCAGCATAAATGCACTTAAGACTATATCCACATAAGTCATCAATATTTCTTTTGCTTCCATCCATCCATCCATCTAGTATTACATTTGCAGAAAACTGTGAGAAAAATAGGAGAAGGGTGGAAAGCACAACCAGTATTCAAGAAAGTTATGGGCAGCATTGCAGGGCAGAAGAGGACTATTGAGGACAATGATTAGCACAGTGATGATAACCAACAACCATAACAATGTAAAAGGAAAGAAGTGAAAGAACAAAGAGACAATGCCATGATTAATGATTTTGTATGATGATGGCACTAGATGTGCTGTCAAGAGGCGTGTTTGTATGTATTCTCAGGAGTTGTGACCTGGAGATGACAAGTGCATTATAGTAACAGCTGTGAGAAATTATTCATTCTAGACCCAGGAGCTTTCAGGATGGAATTCACATAATTATGGTGTGGAGTGACAGACTTTTGGGGGACAAAAGGAGGTGCATATACAAAAGAAAAATACACATATATCAAAAGACATATGCATATATCATGTGACACCATGCATCCATATAGTGAAGACATTATGGTGGGGCCTGTTCTATTGGACAGTTGGCAAGGGCTGAGAAGATGCACTTTGAGATGGTAACCGAGGAAAAGAAGAATGCAAGCTGCAAAACCCCGCCCGAGATCGCTCCCTCACCTCTGTCCAGTAGGTTATCCAGATCTTGGTCAACCCCTAAGAAGTAGCATTTCCTCCAGAGACCCGCGTAAGTGGCGAAGAGCGGCCGGCCGCACCGAGATTGCAGCCACCGGAGCCCCAGGAGCGTTCTCCAGTTCTCTAGCTGCAGCAGCCGGTTCCCGGTGGGAGGAACTGCCTCCGCACTGCCTCCGCGGGGGACCCGTGGCTTGGCATCCCGCAGGGGCAGGTGCGGCAGCGGCAGGAGTCGGCGGCGTTGGTCGGGGGAGTGGGCGCTGCCGGCGCGGTCCTCGCAACTCTCCCGGTGGCGCCGGGGATCAGTTTCGTACCAGTGGTCGGTGAAAATTGCCGTGACGAGCAATGCCAACGAGCAGAGGCTGAGGCACAAGCTGAGCACCCGCGCTCGCGCGCCGCCCATGACTCGCCCCCGGCCACCCCTCGCCTGGCACTCAATGTCTTTCAACGGATGCCCGTCCTGCATTCAGGGCTTCCGCGCATGGTGCCGCGAGGGACAGCAAGAAGGAGCCTCCAGTTTCTACTCGCTCGCATAATCAAGCCACCGACTGGGTAGACGGCGGCGCCTGTCCCGCGTTCATTGTTCACTCTCCACGGGTGGGTCGCGCTACACAAAAGACAGCCCGGGAGTCTTGCAGTACCTATGGGGAGACACCAGGGGGAGCAAGATGGCCGCACTCGCTTCAACTGATCTGCAGCGACGCCCGGGAGAAGAAAGCGCGCGAAGCCAACTCGGCCCACTGGGAGAGGGTTGAGCAAGGCTGCGCGGCCGAAGTTCCTTTGTCTTAATGAGGAAATACTATGCTGTTCTCGTTTATTCTAGTTATTCCAACTGACTGCAGGGGGGAATTTCATGAGGATAAGCATATTCTATTGCAGCTTTTTTATTACTTGGAAATGGAGAACCTGAAATGGAATGCATCTGGAGAGTGCTTGTGGAAGGATAGAGCTTAGTACAGCAGGTGAAAATGCCAAACGATCTCATTGTTTAATTAGCATTACCTCCTGCTGTTATAAGATTAGTATTTTGTAGGCAGGAGAAAGGGGTCAATCCCAAAAACATCAGTTATATGTGAACAGGTGTATTTCAATTCATTAGGTGTGGAATATCCACCTAAACATCTTGCACAGTAGATGTACTGATGTATGCACCCATTTGGGTGCTGTGGAGACCTTTCAATATGGAGGCTCTCACATGACTGCCAATGGAAGGTTATTCACAAAGTCCAATGGGTGCAACCAATCTATCCATTTACCCAATGCAAAAATTGCATATAATCTGAAGAGAAGTGGAACTTACTGAAAGTGTCTCTACGTTTTAATACAAAACATGTTCCCCACTCCCTGGGTACAGAAAGAAACAAATATATTTATATCCTATTTTTAAAATGTTTTTCATCAACTCTTTGGGAGAAATAGATTAGACTTCCATTTCCCTTAGTGATTGCCATCACTAAGCAATGTGATCACCAACTACAATCTTTCACGACTATATTGCTAAATGATGGCAATTCAGGCAATATCAGTTACCACTATAACCGCAAGACACAGATTATTAAGTGTGTATCAGCAGGAGTCTCCAATAAAGAATTACAGGGATACTGCAGGGCAGTGGTGGGTTTCAAAAAATTTTAGAACCTCTTCTGGTAGGTGTGGCCTGCTTTGTGGGAGTGCGTTGCTGGCCATGTGACTAGGTAGGAGTGGCTTGCCAGCGATGTGACTGGGTGGGCGTGGCCAAGTTGTAAAATGTGGTGAAACTCACTTAACAACACGCTTGCTTAGCAACCAAAATGTTGGCTCAGAAACTCTGGCATTTGAAGCATGCAAGTCTTAAAGCTGTCAAGCTACAAGACCCTTGCACCCCTAACCCTTTAGAAAAACAAGCCCCAGGGTTGTTCAAACTTGACAGCTTTAAGATTTGTGATCTTCAACTCCCAGAATTCCTCCTCTCGCTCTTCATCTTGATGATGTGCAGACGGGCGGGGGGAGGGAGTTGGAACCGGTTCTAAACAGCACTGTAGATTTGTGGAACTTCTATAGAAGAGATAAGAACTGGCAGGAACCCACCCCTGCTGCTGGGGATCAGAGGGATCCTGGGAGGCTCAACACAGGATATACATGAGTTGGGAGGTGGGTTCATATGTACAAATGCAGAGAGGCCCAAGGAAGAAGGCCATGGTGCATTGCTATGGGAGAGACTGACCAGAGCTACTTGTGACATTCCCTTCTGGCTTGTGGGAAGTCAGCAGAGAAGGTCGCAAATGGCCTGAGCTTCAAGAACCAGTTTTAAGTAGCACTCCTTCAGCACTATCACCGTTTCAGGCGCTGACCTGAAATAAACAGATAAGGACCATTCTCTCTGGGCTCCAAGTCTCACAAATGCAATTTCAGAATCAGAATATTCTGCCAACTATTAAGATACCACGTAGAGCCATGAGATGTTTGATCTATGATATACATTTTAAAAATAGCATAATGTAGCCCTTTTAAGGCTGATTGGCATACCCGATGCTGTGTAAACCCTTCATTAAGGCTAGAATCTGGCCAAATTTCAATAGACACCTACATCACCCCCATTGAATGCCATTGAATCATTCTAGACTCTTTCTTGTTTACAGTAACAAAAATATACAATAAAATTTCCATGCTAATAAATCACAACCCCACCCCCCCACAACTTAATATAGACAGGCAAATAGTTTAGGTGCTGGCCTAGAAACCAGGAGACTGTGAGCTCTAGTCCTACCTTTGGCATGAAAGCCAGTTGGATAACTTTGGGGCTGTCACTCTTTCTCAACCCAGCTCACCTCACTGAATTTTAGTTGTGGGGAAAATAGGAGGAAAAAGGAGTATTAGGTATATTCACCACCCTGAGTTATTTATAAAGTAATAAAGGTGGGATTTTAAAAAATCTAAAAAATAAAACAAATAAATAATGCAGTATATAGGATTCACAGTAAAAAGATCCAGGAAACAGCTATCAGTTTACACAATTTATTTATCAACTTTATATGCTCCCACATCTCAGAACAAATTACTCAGGTGGCATATAGCAGAGGTCCCCAACCCAAAAGCTGTGTCCCAGTACCGGGCCATGGACTATTTGGAACTGGGTCACATGAGCGGTGGGCAGTTGGGTCAGCGTGCAGCTCGATTTGCGCAAGCAGCAGACCAGCACGTGTGCACACATGCATAGCTCAACTTGTGCAAGTTGAACTGTGCACGCATGCCCATGCATGGAAAGGTTGGAGACTGCTGGCATATAGCAAAAAAGTATAAAGCAAAAAAACATGTAAATCACATATTTAATTTTTTTGTAAAGAAAGAAGCACACACAAAAGATTAAACAAGCAAGAGATTCAATCAGTTCCAGAACATCCTGTATTGTCATTTAAATATCAATTTAAATCAATCCCTTTAAATATTGATTCAAATCAATCCCTTTAAATATTGATTCAAATCAATACCTTTTACACAGGAGACCCCTTTACACAGGATAAATTTATGTCTTTATGGACAACTGAAATAACTCCGGGCTCATTCAAGTGGCTTAACACATTTTTTAAGCTGAGCTGGCTTCGAAAAAACTCTGTCCATAGGTTCTAACTTGCCTAATCCTGTTACACAGCACATACTGAGAGATGTTTTCTTTCTGGAGG